CGTGGGTAGGGATCTTTATTTGACCTAAACTTGTGCATGTATCAAGTGTGCTTAATGGATGCGGGTGCACTAGACTGTTCCTGTATCATGCAAACGGGGAATCAGCACTAGCGGTTTAGGAGTGTTAACATCCCTACCAGCTGTCTTTTCAGCGCTGACAGTGACGCAGTGGATAAAAAATGACTGGGACCTTGTGATGACCATGGTTATTATTCCACCTATTGTTTGATACTAGTTGTGTCCTTGTATGGGTTTCGTGTGTACTCCATTGTGGGTTAGTTCCCAGCAGACTTGTACCATATATCCGATCAAAATTTGTTTTTGTGCCATACTGTGAATACCCTGAGTTGTTGGTGGTCGAGTTCTGACTATTGCCACTTGTATTATTGAGGTTGGCATTGTTGTGACGTTGGTTATCAGTGTGGGCCATGGTGGTATTTCGCACGTTGTGGGTGCCAATACTGTTGACCGTGGGGAATGTGGGCTTATTTATACTGCCATTGTTGTTGTTAGCATTATTTGGGGTCATATTTTCCTTTTTTACCAATGGACTTATGGTTAGGGGAGGACATGGTTGACTTTCGGGTGACTGACGTTTTTCTGGGATTATTTAGTGACATGTCTATATCTACGGTGATATGTGGTATGGTATTATTAGCTATTTGATTACAATTTAGTGGCCTTTCGGTTGGTGTTGCTCTCTGAGAGGATAATTCTGTGTTGTTTGAGAGGGGTGGTGCGGTGGATTCTACGGTATATCTCGAAGGGTTGGGTATAATTGCTGCTTGCAATGTCCTATTGTTTATTCTGCAATTAAGCTTAGTGAGATAATTGCATGCGCGCCTTTCTATGACTGTCTTGTCCATCGCAATCTTTATTAGTTTGTAGTTTCTGGCTTGCTATAGGGTGTGTTGGGAGTGGATGAATTTTCTGGTCTCTGCCGGTGTTTCGAACTGAAAACGAATAGGACAACACTTTTCATGTTGACTCTTCTTCAGCCTATAGTGTAACGACAGAAGGCAAGAGTCAGGCAACAGATCGTTTATTAAGGAAAATCAACATATATTTATAGATTTTAATGTACATTATTGTAAATTAATGTTAGTGGAAAATACAGTCTTTCGATTGGTTGTTTCTCACACAAAGTTAACCTTGCATCTCTTTGTGGCTGTGACAGATCATCTATCTGTTAACTGTATCCACCTACGCAAAGTTTACTGTCCATCTTTGACCTTGTTTTCACATGACTAATATTTGAGACATAAACATTGACCTCAATTACTGTCTACCAATTTGGCTAGCAACCATCTCCCACCACAATAGCACTTAGTCTTGGAGTTGGGCATTTTCGCCTCACTAAGTAAGATGCGCTGTACCCTTTTTAGTGCCTCATTGTCCGGAAAGTTGTAGACAATAGCACTTAGTTTAGCGTCGAGTCACTTTGTTACTTCTGTAGTAACAAATTTAATGATGTTATCTACATTAGTTACAGACTCTGTAAAGCTTGTTAAGGTTTACAGTTTTCATGAGGATAGTTAGAGGTGCCAGTTTACAGACCTGCGATCTGATATCGCTGATCTGATCTGATAATTTGGATATTTTGGTATTGGTTTCAGAAATTCCAGGGTTTACTGAGTTATTGTTTTTTATTTCCCTTAACTCGGCTTTAAGTTCTCCTATGGACAACTTTAGAAGTTCTATTTCTGAAGATAGTACTGAAACAGAGCTTGATGGCTGGAGTTTTTCGATAAGCACATAAGGTGTAGGGAGGGGTTCTGTATGAGCAGAGGGTACTGAATTTTTAGGAGTAGTGCTAATACTAGCTGTCAGTACAGTTTTATCCCCAGTTTCAGCTCGACGCTTACGACATACAAGTGAGTTATGTGGCTCACTATAACCGTTTGTAGGGAGTGTGTTGTTTGATGTAGCAATCAAGGACGTGAAATTAGTTATCAGATTTACAGGGGACTGAGTTCTTTTTTTCACTTTGATTAATCATAACTAAATGATATGAGAGTTAATGGTTATAGGTATGGAGGAAGTAGAGTACTTGTGCAAGGATTGCAACAAGAGAGATTTTGTGTAACGAATCACGCAAAAATGTGGCGCAAACGTTGAACGTACCGCCCTTGCAGTCAATAGCGTGGCCCAGGAAGTCGAGTGAGTCAACGCCTATCTGAAACTTTTGAGTATTGATGGTTACACCATGCAGGCGTAACCAAACGCCAAGTGTCTAAGGTGAGTTTCCTTGTCTGGACCGGCAATGAGGCAGTCGTCTAAGTATGCATACACAAAGTTGAGACCGCGAAATACTTCGTCGATGAAGCGTTGGAATGTTTGGGCTGCATTCCGGAGACCGAATGGCACACGTAGAAATTCGAAAAATCCGAAAGGCGTAATGATAGCGGTTTGCGGAATATCTTCTGGTGCCATCAGGATTTGGTTATACGCTTTAACCAAGTCGATTTTAGAGAATATGGTTGCTCCAGATAATGTTGCCGCCAAGTCGTGTATGTGAGGCAATGGGTAGCAATCAGGAGTCATTTTGGCGTTCACTCGCCGGTAATCACCAGTGGGTCGCCAATCGTTGATATCCTTTTTCGGTACCATATGCAATGGGGATGCCCATGGGCTATTCGATGGCCAAACGGTGCCAAGGGTTAGCATATGGTCGAACTCATTTCTAGCGATTCTCAGTTTGTCAGGAGCAAGCCGTCGTGCTTTAGATGTGGTGCATAACATTGCTGGTTTTGCATGGCTGATCGTTAGACCGGCAACTTAGTTCCGGATACTTGTCAACAATAGGTTTAAAAGTTGGATCAGGGAGTGCTTTCATCTTAACGAGTGACAAGCTGAGGCCTATATAGGTGATGCCTTTTATGGACACACTATTAATATTGTCAATCAGTCGTTTTCGGCGGACGTCTACGAGTAGATCATGATGATTCACTATATCCGTACCAGTGGTGTGCATTTTGACGTCAGCAATAAGGAAAATCAACTGAATATATATTTGCGTAAACCTACGATCAGATAGACGTATTTCCTATCAAATTTGCAACTGGTTTTCCATATGCAGCCTGTAATTTGAATGTTGGTTCCTTCTGTCAATCTGCTGCTGTAGCAGGAAGGACGCTGACTTCGGCGCCTGTGTCGACTAAATATCGAGTCTGGCTGATCACATCATGGATGTAAAGTAGGCAGCTAGTGCCACCGGCGACGGTTGCCGCTAACGCGTGCCGGCGGGATAGTTTCCCACAGACTTTGAGACATTGCCGAAGTTACAAGGTTTACGACAACACTTCGCTTCCTCGCCATAGGTGTTTGATACCAGCACCAGTCAGGGTTTTCCAGTGAACGTGGCTTGGACTTAGATCGACCACGTGCGTTTTGCCGTTGAGGGGATTTAGGACGATGGTAGGAGTAATTAATAGGCATGTTTGACCTAAGCATCTGCTGGATGGAGTTGTATAACTCTAACACTGCAGTATCCTTACTCAAAGTCTGTTTGGCCACCGAGCATATTTCAGGAACTGACCGTTTAGTTATTTCTAGAATTTTATCTGCAGAAACAGCTAATTCCTCTATGATAACACCCTGAGGTGTCACCAGCACAGTCTGTACTGACTGTGGCAGTTTGGATAAGAAGAGTTTTCTGAAAAGTCCTTCATTGAACTGACTTTGGCCAATAACCTCTCTCATTCTTGCCAGCACGCTCACGGCTGACTGATCCCCTAACTCGATGTTACGCAATAATTCATCCAGACGCTGTCAATCCGTGAGAACGTTTCTCCTGAGGAGGGATGCTCTGCGCAACTCGTACAAGTTACTTACCTCTGGACTCGACATCTGCACAGTTACGCACTTGCTGAATTCCCGCGTAAGGTGTGAATAACTGCGAAGAACTGTGAACGTCAATCGGTTATCTCATGCTCATAAAAATCAGACTCAGCTGTCTGAAACCACGTTTCAGCATTATCTGGCCAATATAGTACGAGCTGAATGGTATTGGCAGTTGAGCGATTACTAATAACTTTGGAGTTAGGATCAATCATGGTGGAATATATGCCGATTACAAGCTAGTACAAGAACAAACACAAAAAGGAACGAAGGCACCGGGTTTGTCTGCGTATTCATCAAAGATGAAGTTCGCGATTGTGCTCACCAGTTTACAGGCTGACGGTATTGACGTTCACGAATTGTACGAAGTACACTAGCACAAGATCTTATACAAACAACTTCTATAGTATTCGTCCCTCGTGTACCAAGGACAAAGCAAAACGCCACAAATGATCGTTCAAAGTACGAGATATATTTCGGGACCAAAACGGATTGCGGGGTGAATGCTTAGCTGACTAGTGATCGTGCACGAACGTGATACGACGGAGTATCGAATGGCATGGATGCTTGACAGGAAGCCTTCAGCTAAACAAGTTGACTTAAACAGTGATGGTCAGCATCCGATGTTCAGTGATGACTGCTGTGGTCAATAATTTTGGGGAATTATTTACCGATACACATCTGTAGTTAAAATGAATAATTTCCTACTGGGTCATCTCGTTCTTTTTATGGTTTGATTTCACCAGAAGCATAAATAGCACGAAACTGTCAGTGTAGGTCCGTGCGTAGAATTGTACAGTATTTGCATATATCTATTATCGTTTTCTGATTTACTCTAATTGCAAATGATGCATCTTCATTTTAGAAATATTTAAAAATCTTGAAGCACTCTATCGAATGGATTTTCGAAAAGTGACTGCTGCTGATATAAATAATTAGCAATCAAGGTTTACCGACCTCTTCAACACTTCTAGAATTGAATCGCTTCAGCATTTCTGCAACAATTGTGCAATGTCGTAAGTTTCCTTAACTTTCAACACTTCTTTCATATACTACTTTCGCATCAGAATAAATTTTACAAGCGGATGTTATCAATATGATTCAGAATTTTATTCAGATTCAGATTTACTGGTTGAGGATAGAAGGCTTGGAGCCTATGTTCATCCTTTTCTAGCAAAACACATACGGTTGTTTTCAATATGGAATATCACTGGGTCTACTAGATCGACCTCCACACCTAAATCTGTATCATTGAGTAGATCGTGCTGGTAATTCCTCTCTAAGGTTGTTGCAACATAGTCCACGAACCTAGACGGTTCAAGTGGATATGTTAAGAATTCGGGGTCGAATGGTAGTTCCGGTAAATTATTTTGGTACTTCACGCGACACAAAAGCGACTCAGTTCTATTAAAAATAGCCGGTTATTTCTGCACACAGATTATCATACTTGAAGTCTATCCCAATATCTTGTGAATAATTGGAACGTCCATTTACTTCGGACCTATAAGTCAAAGTCATTTCATGCGCCGCGGTCAAGGTCGGATCAGATTCAGATTCAGATTTATTGGTTGAGGATAGAAGGCTTGGAGCCTATGTTAATCCTTTTCTAGTAAATTTCTGTGGTTGTCCAAACCCTTCTTGAACGAAACAACTGAGGTTGCAGACACCACTTCTTCTGGGAGTCGGTTCCAAGAGTTTATGACTCGGTGTGAGAACCAGTACTCAACAGCAATATGATTTCTTCTTTGCTTTTGAACTCTCCTGCTATGTCCTCTAAGGTGTTCCGACCTGGTGGGAAGGAAAAGAGAAAATAGGTCAGGTCCGTACTCATTATTTAAAATTTTAAACATTGTGATTATATCTCCTCTCTGCCTACGGAATGACAAGGAGAAGAGATTTAAACTGTCTTGTACTTCCTCGTATGATAAATTAGTCATTCCGAGAACCATGCGTGTTGCCTTCCTTTGAACCCTTTCTAGAATGTATGAGTCCCCTTTTAGACAAGGGCCGGCGGCCTGGATGCAGTTTTCCAGTCTTGTATATAAGGAGGTGAACATATCTCTGGTGTTTCTAGTGAAGGCTCTACGAATTGCCCATAATGACCTGAAACTACGTGCAGCCACCGCGCGACAGCGTGCTGTAGTTTTTAAGTCGTGGCTAACTATGACACCTAAGTCCAAGTGAGTCTGAACTGGTGGAAGTGTAATTCGCTCTAGTTCATAAGAGCTCGTACTTGCTTGTCCAATGCGCATGGTCGCCCATTTTGCCACATTTATCGGGAGCATCCATTCTATGGACCACCCTGACAATTTGTTGAGGTCCTCTTGCAACGTGGACGTGTCACTGCTGCCCTTCAGCTCTCTCCAAATTTTTAAGTCATCTGCGTATAGTACCATAGGGGAGTCGGTGAGCAGAGATAACTCATTGATATACAAAATAAATAGGAGAGGTCCAAGTACTGTGCCTTGTGGCACTCCGCTGCGTACTGCTGTCCAAGGGGAGAGTTTCGAGTTGATCCTAACCCCCTGCCTCCTATCTATGAGGAATTCCCTGAGCCAGTTTAGTAAGCTGCCTTTGGTACCAAGACTCTCCAACTTCATGAGTAGTCTTTTGTGAGGTACTTTATCAAAGGCTTTGCTGAAGTCTATGAAGACGACGTCAACGGGTCTTCTGTTGTCCCCAGATTTGACCCAGTTTTCTCTTGCAGTGAGAAGATTTGACAGGCATGAGAGGTTCCTTCGGAAGCCATGCTGTGCTCTTGATAATAAGCTTCTATTTTCTAGATATGCCATTATGCTTTTCTTGATGATTCTCTCCAGTATCTTAATCAAAGTGCTGGTGAGACTGATAGGCCTGTAATTTGATGGGCTTTGCCTTGATCCTCCTTTGTGGATGGGGGTTACTATGGCGTCTTTCCAGTCACGCGGTAACACTCCATTTTGGAGAGAAAGCTTGAAGATCGTAGTCAAGGGGCCGGCTATGTGGGCTGATAACTCCTTGAGAAGCCTTGAGTGAAGATTATCAGGACCCATCGATTTCCCTGCATCTAGTTTCCTTAGGCAGTTGAGCACGATGCCTTGGTCGATGTCAACGGAATCTATCCCATGTTCTTCTGATGCAGCCAGAGCTGATCCTATAGGCAGTGACGACTCCTGAGTGAAGACTTGGGAGAAGTAGTTCGCCATTGCTTCTGCTTTTTCTTGATCTTCTTCGATTGTATCATTGTCAATAGTCAGGTTTGGGACACCATTGGATGTTTTATTCCTGAAGTTCATGTACGAGAAAATTTTCTTAGGTTGTGCCTTTGCATTTTGAGCCAGGTGTGCTTCGAATTTCATCCTTGATTGGCGGATTTCTGCAATAGCTTTATTTCTAGCAGTGTTATACAATTGCCTGGTCTCAGAAGTCTCAAGTGTGGCAAACAAGTTCCAACATTTGTGTTAACGTCTAAGTAACTTAAGAATCTCTCGGTTTATCCAAGGAGGGCAGTGTTTCCAACCCTTTGGGACAGACCAAGGGATGAAACGTTCAGTTACTTAGGCGTAAAGTCGTTTAAATTGGTTCCATGTGGCTTCTAATTGAGACTCTGGGTTGATGTAACAGTTTACAGAGTTGGCTGCTGAGACGATTGCATTAATAACAAACTACCGAACCTATAATTTTCAGTCAACATGATTGTTTCGATAAAGGATACTGAACTGTAAAATATGTGAGTAAACCCTAGCAAAATAACTCAATTTTGCATAGTAGTTCTGAATTTCAATTGCATTTAATTACACTGGCGGAGAAGTAGATTCTCGAAACCCTGCTATTGCGCGAAAATCGAAAGGATAACAGTTAACATCACTTTCTAAGTATTTCTGCTGGTGTCTTACGGCAAAATCAAGTTAGAGGAAGGGATGTGAAAACAGTTTATACTCCCTTTTGGATGATCAGCTGCTTTATACCCACTGTTCGTGAAGTATGAGAATAAATCGATTGAAGAGGTAACATTCCCCCACTTGCTCCACATAAGTTTTCCGCCTTTTATAAGGTATTTTTTCCTTGAATGACTACTAATGCTGTCACATTCGCTTGACATATCAAATAGACATAGAAGTAGCAAATGTCCCCATGTTTCCAACTGCTTATTACATACCTACCTAACTCTTTTACTGTTTCATTCTTCATCACGTTATTTACTGCTAATACTTTTCCCCATGCAGCTGCTCAAATTTTTTGGAACTCTGATATCCTTACCAACAATCCCATTAAACCAAACACTGTTTATACTATCTTAAAGCCAAGTCACCAACTGCACACCGGTGATTTGAACATTCGACCGTTGTGCTTAACTGGATAAAGAGTTCTGTAAACCTGAAATCCAGCATTTCGTGCTATAGATGCTTCTTACATTCTTGAGGTGTACTTGTGGCTTACAGATTTGAACTCTCCATTTCCGGCCACTGGAACCCTCCACAACCCTTACGGAGGCTTTTGCAGAGAAGTGGTGTAGTTAACCTTCCCAATACACGTTACTCAAAGCAGACTGCGTGTAAATGCAGTGAGTTTTCCTTAGATCTTAGGTGCAAATACAAGGCTTAGTTATGTTTATTTATTTAACCCAGCTTAGCCAAACTTCTACACCACTAGAGTTAAGATAACACTAAGCCGTACATACAAGTGACTCACTTCTCATTTCAATCGTACTTATGCATATATACTTTTGTTGGCTAGTAAAACGACTATTTAATCGAGGAAGTTAGTGTTAGAGTCCCTGTGTATTTTTAGTCTGTCGGCGTTCTGTATTTTTCAGCTTAATTCATTCCACCACTCAGTGTTTAAACAATTCGAATTAAGAATAATAAACTTCTTGGTCGTCAGAAATGTGCCCAAAAGTTCATGCGATACGAAAATTAATTGGTTTATGGATTGAAGAAGTAAATGATTTTGTCTATAAATTTGAAGTAAGAGTATACACCAGTTTCTACTATTTTGTACGTTATTAACATTTTACTATTAACATTTACTATCTCTTCCATGTCACCCACAGACATAAATCTCGCGTTTTCAATCCGAGTTCCACCTGAGCAATGGCCTGGCGCGAGATGTCACTCACTGGTCTCCTCAGCATGTGTCTGATGCATCTCCATTCCATTCAGCATATTTGTTGACCAATAGGTTCTTGGTTGGTTCGTTCCCAGAGTTCATTGTTGCTGATCCTCGCCAGACACCTGAATATAAGTATAGAAGGAAGGCAGCTGTTGACAAAGGTTTGCAGCAGGCTGTTGGAAATGTTTTCCGTGACGCATACGTCTAGTCTCTGGACCACATAAAAGTATTGACTTGACACTGATGTTGAAAATCGGAATCTTGCTCTTCATGTTGAGTGCAGAAAATTTCTAAATTGATTTTAGAGTAGTGGCTTTGGAATCTTCATCCGCGCTGTCATCTGTAGTTGAGTCAATGCTAGATAAGTTAAATAGGTCACTTCCTTCTAATTTTTCCGTTGATGGTTAGTGGTACTTGTTGTTACTGGTCAGGTGTCTTCATCATCCCGGTCTTCTCTATGTTTACTTGAATTCCTGTCTTCGCTATCTCCTGAAAATTTGTTGCTTTTCTCCTGAAGATCTTCGAGTTTGTGTGACACTAGACATTTGTCATCCGTGAAGTCCGGAACTCTTCTTATCGGTCTGACGTATTCCCATCTTCTCGCCGTCCACAGTTTGTTGCATGATCCAGTTCACCACAATCAGGAACATTTCCAGTGATAATAGGCAGTCTTGTCTTACTTCAGTCTTCACTCTAAATGCTTCTCTTAGTTTTCCGCTATGAATCAGTGGCATCCCCATATGGCTGTTGAACAGGTTTGATAAAAATTTTCGCCACTAAACTCCATAATGTTGAAGTACTTTCCAAATTACTTCGTGTAAACGCTGTCGAAGGATCTTTCAAAATCGATGAAGTTAAGGTAGATATTTGCTTACCATTCTATACTCCGTTCGACGATGATGCGTAGAGTTCCATTTTGATTCTCACATGATTTGTTTTTCCTGAATTCAAATTGTTCCGGGGGGAGTTTTGCATCCAGAGCACCTCTGTGTCTCATCAGAATGACACCACCTAATATTTTGCTTGGTGTGGATAGAACTGAAATTTCGTGCTTGTTCCTGCAAAGACTTAAGTCTCCCTTCTTTGGAATTTTGGCGTGGTAGCCCTCCTGACAATTGGTAGGTACCTTTCCTTCCTTGGAAACTTTCTCCATTTGTGGTATCAGGACATCCACTGGGGATCTCTGGACCTCTTTTTAGTGCTTCCGGAGGAATTCAGTCTGAACTTACCAGCTTCCCAGTTTCTGGTAACTTTATGGTATACAAGACTTCTACTTTTTTATGGAAGATTAGTGTTCACAGAATGTTTTCTTTGGCTGTTGATGGTACTTCTGGGAGAGTTGCTGGTGGCGATCTGTTCAAGAGTCCTTTGAAATAGTCCTCCTGGAGTTTTCTTTGCTTCTCCTCTTTGATTATTTGGTTCCCTTG